TGTTGATCACCTGGAAGGCAGGAGGGCTCTGCAGAGGGACCTGGACAAGCTGGATCCATGGGCTGATCCCAAGGGAATGAGGTTCAACCAGGCCAAGTGCAGGTCCTGCCCTTTGGCCACAACAAGCCCCAGCAGCCCCAGGGCTGGGACAGAGTGGCTGGAGAGCAGCCAGGCAGGAAGGGAGCTGGGCTTTGGGATGGACAAGAAGCTGAACATGAGCCAGAGTGTGCCCAGGGGGCCAATGGATCCTGGTCTGGATCAGGAAGAGTGTGGCCAGGTTGGCCAACCAGCCAGGTTGGGGTTGGTCTCTTCTCCCAGGAAGCAGCAGTAGGACAAGAGGGTTCAGCCTCCAGCTGTGCCAGGGGAGGTTTAGGTTGGACATCAGGAAGAAATTCTTTCCAGAGAGAGTGCTCAGCCATTGGAATGGGCTGCCCAGGGAGGGGGTGGATTCCCCATCCCTGGAGGTGTTTAAGGACAGGCTGGATGTGCCATCAGTGCCATGGGCTGGGAACCACGGTGGGGTTGGATCAAGGGTTGGACTGGATGGTCTCGGAGGTCCTTCCCAACCCACCTGATTCTGTGATTCTATTTAAGCTGTACCTTGGTTTTTTTTCAGTAAAAAACCCCAGTATTTCCCAGACCCAAACCATCCCCTCCTGGCACAAAGGCACCTCCAACCAGCAGATCAGGTAAATTCTGACCTGGTTTATTTGGTGCAACAGTTATTGGGCTTTTGAATCAATAACACAACAAACTGCCAGGGATGGGCTGAAAACATTCCAAGGAAGGTGAAGCTGGATTTTTACACAATATTCATTGACACTGGTCAGCACATCATTGTGATTGTCTGACATAAATTTTAAGTTTCCACTGTTGAGTTTGTAACATCAACAGACTTATGGAACAGCCCAAAATAAGTGGGAATTAGCAAAGCTGCCTGGGTTTCCTAGGAAAGAAAGGTGGACAGAATTCCCTGTTCACAGCCAGGGAACAGGAAGCTGATCCTTGTAACGCACCTTAATCCCTAAAGCACAAGTTTTAGTCAGGTAATCACAGAATACCTGAGGTTTCCAGGCACCTCTGGAGGCCATCTGCTCCAAGCTCCTGCTGGAAGCAGGACTAACTCCAAGGTGGATCAGGGTGTTCAGGATCACCCCTTCCATTTGCAGCCATTTCCAAGGATTTAGTTTCACCCATTTGATTGTCATTGCTGTGCAAAAATCCCTTAAATCCTCGCTGGCCAAATCCCCCCCCCCCAGTATGAACATTTAACAGAGCTCCTGAATTGTTTTATACAACCAGAAGCTCAACTACTTCTTCACATTCTCAGCTTTGGAGCATTTAGAAAGCTCTGGGTACCCCCTCATTTGTAATTTATTCTATTTTAAAATCTCACAATCTGTATCACACAGCTTGTAGTTAAGAAAATGCTCATTCCTTTATCTTTTCTCATTAGATCACCATTGGAATTTTCCACATTAAATCTTTGCAATTCAAGATCTTTCTGTTAACTCTCAACTACTTATTGCGCCTTTCAAAGAACAGGGACTTCCAAAAATCACCTGGTCCAAGCTCTCCTGGGAAAGGGAGCCTTAACCAAGCCTCATTTCCAATTAGAACAAGCAAAATTTCCCAGGAATAATGAACATTCTGGAATGATGCCACCAATTTGCAGCACTTAAGAATGAAATCCCAAAGCTTGATCCTCCTGGATCTGATCTGTAATGTTTATGTTTAGCTCAATGTAGAGTCAAAAACTTGGATTAAATCATCCCCATCATCAAAACTAAACTCAAAGTGGGAACAGGTGAAGTGTTTTCACTGATGAAACTTGAAATATTTAAACAGGCAGAAGATTCTTCTGGGTTAGACTGCTCCTGCACCCAGAGGAGCAGTCAGGGAGGAACGAGCTTGGCCCAGCTCCCACCTGGAATTCCCAGAGCCGAGCTCAGGTTGTCAGAGCAGCACTTGAACCCCAGAGCAAAACAAACCCAGAGAAGGAAGCAACAGCCTCCAAAAAACAGAAAAAACCCCACAACAGAACCTGACACCCAAAAAGGAGCAAAACCACCTGACCTGTGATGAACAAAACAAGCAGCAGGAGGTAAATCCACTGGTTTATAACATCACACCCAGCTTAGGATCATGACGTTGAAATCTGTCTGTAAAGCAGCACTTAAAGGAACTTCATTTCTATTTAAACACATAGAAGAATAAGCATTAGAGCAAGAGCCATCCCTGCTGTCCTGGGGCAAACTCTCCTTCCTGAAAATACACAGGGAAAAATTCCTTCTGCAGGTTTTTGGAAGTTGAATTAAGACAGCACTCAATTCCCACGATCCCTGAAGTCAGACTTGCCTTTAACACATCGTATTTATTCCCATGGCCTTTTCCACTCTTTGTTTCACCCCTTGCCATTTTCCCTGGTAGGAAAATTAACCTCTCCCAGTCCATGGCTCTTCCCAGGGAATGTTTCCAACAGCTGATGTGGCACCCACCACTGGTCACCACGTGGCTGCTGAACCTCCGAGTCCCTTCTGAGCTCTGGGATGAAGCTCTGAAACCATCCCTCTGCATTTTGGGGTTGTCCCCTTGTACCTTCCCTGGCACAGAACGATGGATGTGACGCATCCACAAACACCTCCAGCCCCCAGTGCCCAACCAGGGCTGTTCGAGGGCACAGAGGAACCTCCCAGCACTCTGCAACACTCAGAGCCTGGGCAGGTGCTCCAAGCCCTTCACACCTCTGGAAGCCACCCTGGGAACAGCAGGACACAACCCCGGGTGCCAGGGAAGTGCAACTCCCACGGGAAGGATCTTCCCAGTGCTGTCCCAAGAGGAAACTGCGGGAAGACACCGAATCCAGAGCGTGGGGGTGGCAGGATGTGATGGGACACGATCTCCTGAGATCTCTCCCCTGTCTCCAGCGCTGATGTGAACCACAGCAAAGTGCACAGGGCTGTGTGTGAGCCTTTCCAGGGAATGAGAGGCTCCATGGGGACACTCCAGCTCAGCCTGGAGAAGAAAAAGCTTCAGGGAGACCTCCAGCGCCTTCCACTAGTCCAGCACCTTCCACTAGTCCAGCACCTTCCACTAGTCCAGCACCTTCCACTAGTCCAGCACCTTCCACTAGTCCAGCACCTTCCACTAGTCCAGCACCTTCCACTACTTGAAGGAGGCTTAAAAAAATAAGGGAAGCAGCAACTTTTTACACAGGGCAAAGAGGAAAACAGTTAAATTTAAAGTGGACAGATTCAGACTGGATGTTAGGAATAAATTCTTCCCTGCGAGAGTGGTGAGGGATTGGAATGGAATTCCCAGGGAAGTCGTGGCTGCTGCACTCCTGGAAGTGTCCAAGACCAGGATGGAGCAATCTGGGATAGTGGAAGGTGTCCCTGCCGTGGGCAGAGGGTGGGGTTGGATGGGTTTAAGGTCTCTCCAACCTAAACTATTCCATGATTCCAGCCCCTCTGTCCCCGCATTCCCAGCAGGGTCAGTGACCCAGCCAGCAACACCCCCCCCTCCCCGGGGCACAACAAAGGGAAGAGAACAACCGAGAATTTAAAGTTATTAAACCGTAACTAGGGCAATAACAGAACACACTCGCCCTTTTCCCAGGAGGGGAGGAGGGTCCGCCCTTCTCCCAGGGGAGAGCGCAGGGCACGGAAGGACCAGCCCGGTCACATCTCCCCTCCTTGGAGCGCGGGAGGAGCAGGGTGGGCTCAGCTCAGCCGCGTCCCCCTCCTTGCGCTGCAGTTCCTCTGGCGTGGAACAGCGACCCACCAAAAGCCCCTTCGTGGGGCAGAAGGTGCGTTCAGCGGTCACGAGCGTGACCCAGCCTGTCGCACCCCCAACCCCCAACTCAGGCCGGGTGGCAGCTGCTCCCCCCAAAGCCGTACCCACCGGAACCCGCTCCTCCTCCTCTGCTGCTGCTACTGCTGCTTCTTCTTCTTCTGCTTCTTCCTCCTCTTGCTGCTCCCCGTCCCGTGCCGGCTCCATGGGCGGGTGTGTCCCGGTGTCCCCGGTCCCCAGCGCGGTGGCCCCGCGGCCGCCCCGGTCGCCAGGGACTCTCGCGCGCGCGCGCGCGCGCACACGCGTGGGGACCGCCCCCTTTGGCCCGCGCCGCGATTGGCCGAGGGCAGGGAGGGGGCGGGGACGTCGGGTGAGCTCCGGCTCGCTGACTGGTCGGAGGAGGGAAGGGGCGTGTTAAAAGGGGGCGATGGGCGTGGTCATGTGAAGGGGCGTGGTCATGTGAAGGGGCGTGGCCAGGCGGGGAAGGTTTTGGCGGGCGGGGAGGCGGGAGATGCCCGGATGGAGCCGGGGGAGGGGGGGTGGGACAGTAATTTAGGGAGTCATGGAATGGTTCCGGTG